AACTCGCGAATGCATTTCTTATTTGCTTTAGAACGTCTAACAAATGAACAAAAGTTTAAAACGAAAGTGCTGAGCTACTGTTCTGCTTTTTTTGCTGTGTAAACGTTGCCGTTGCTGATGCCGTTACCGTTTTTGCTTTTTCAAGCCGTTAACGACTCTCGCGTGTCACTGCAAAACATCCAACTTCACAGTGACTGAAAAGGTTTCCTGGATTCCATCAAGTATACAGTTTATAAAAATGAAGTTCTTAACCTCCGTGCTCTATCAATATTTATCAAAAAATAAGATATGCAAATGCATGTAAATTGGTGATAAAGCACCAAAGCACAATTCTACGGCTGATATTTTGTTGCTACTTCGAGCTCGAAGCTACAAAAGCAATACTCAAACTGCAGTTACGATGCATATAAATAATTCTCACTAGACCGCACTTTATGACAAACGGACCAAACGAGTCTTCCATAACACAAATTAATCTAAAAGTTCAGCGGTGATATGTCACGACTCCGTCGTCCTGAAACATCAACTTATTTCATCATGGGGAAATATTTGTAAACAGTTAACTTGGCACCTCTTTAATGATTACGAAAAACCAAGAGCCCACCGATATTTTTCAAAATTAAGAAAAAACATATTACAGACCTGTTCCTCTTGGAACCAAATCGCATCAAAGTTGGTCTTCACTTCAATTTATCTCTTCTTCATGGTAGAAACATTTCTCTTGCGTTGACACTGCCGAACCATCTGGAGGAGCTCATATGCAAATTCATCAACAGATTCGTTTTTTCCCCCGCTTGTCGAACTAAATAATCTTTTATGGTAGGGAAGCACTCCGTCAGTTCCCAGTGTCATCGGCAAGGTTTAATATCAAGTAATGCATCGTGGTTTCCCTAACACGAATTTTAATACAACCATTCAAAATGATCTAAGATTAAAACGACGCGAAATTGTCCTTGTTTTCAAAATAGTACAACATGCATGCGATTTGATATTAAGCTTTCAAAAGACCCTCGAGGAAATAATGTAAATATTACTTCCCAAAACAAAAGAGCTAAATTGGTTTTGAAATGTTTCTACATCCCAATATGTTCCCCACGGCATATTTCATGCGACAGCAAAAAATGCTTAATTTTGCGAGAATTAGAAATTCGAAAAGCTTTAGGTCAGGTAACGGGTTATTGCAGATAAGGTTTTAGCAAAATAAAAAACAAGTGACGTGGATATAAGAGGGTACGAAATTTTTTAATTACAGTCTTTATTATCTGAGACTAAGCGTAGCTTTATTACATTGCACCAGCTTTATGGAGAATTGACATGACATGTTACTCCGGCAGGGTTCAAGAGAATTACGATTTCGTACCGACTGTCGCGTATTATGCATTAATTTTTTTCGACTACCTACAAAACCAGGTATTCGGCTTTTCTTTAGACGTGTGTCTTTTAATCTAGAGCAATTAACACTGCGCGACCACCTACTAGCCAATATTTCAAAACTAACCTTACTTGCAGCCAAGTGATCCATAATTCCGGTTTCGAATAAAATAGATTATCTGCCAAAATCATTATTGGTGCTTGTACCAAGCCGATATATGAATTTTTTTAAATGCGTCCTGATTAGCTGATGAAAAGATGTGGTCAGGGAACTATCTATGATCATCCGTGGTAAAAGGATCGTGAATGCAATGGCAGCGTATCATAGCACGTCTCATAGTGCGTTTCATAAATTAAGAATCTACCGTTGTTTTCGGCCACATCATGATGGTAAAAGCGCAGATCGTTTGAACAACCCGACGACGGGGACGGAAAAAACAAAAGATGACAAAGAGAGATAAGGGTTAGCGCATGTGCCTTGCCATGGCCCCATGATGATGGAGGGCAGGTGTTTGACTTCAATGTTAAAAGATGTACTGGCATGGCAGGTACATGTAAAACTTTGCCCATTGTTTTGGTTCGGATTTTTTAAGACAATGAAGTTATTGTTATCTGTCCTTAGGGATTTTTTATCCGGTGACGCAAACTTAGACACGCGTTTAGTCGGCTCCAGTTCGCAAATTTTTAATGATGACATTTTGGTTCCCCACGGGAGTCTACTAAGGAAAATATAGACAGACTAGCAGGGTAGGTCAAAAGTTTAACATGACGCGTCTGTCGGATGGATGTTGATTTACACGTTGATTCACGTAGGTTGATTCACACCACGCGATTCGAGTTGTAGTCATGGCGTAAGCTTTCATTCACGTCTTTATCCCTAGTTCAAATATATGACTTTCATATATTCTCAACCATTTATTCATCACTTCACGGGTTTATTTAGAACCAACTTCATGACCAGCTCCCAGTTGGCTTGTTAGCTCAGTTGGTAGAGCGCTGCACCGGTATCGCAGAGGTCATGGGTTCAAATCCCGTACAGGCCTGAATTTTTTTCAGGCCTTATTTTCACTACTGCCTAAGTAGTGCACATTACTGCGAGGATCACTTTCATTCACGTCTTTATCCGCAGTTCAAATATATGACTTTCATATATTCTCAACCATTTATGGCGTAAGCTTGTCGCATACGATAGTGTCCAACCGTGTAATGCTCCACTTCAGTACACAGTAAATAAATAAAATATGTATGAAATCTAACGTATCTTATCAGTAAAAGTAATTTATTTTAGTCATGTTATTGCGAGCAAGCGTTCTTGGAATTCGCGTTAAATTTGTTTTGTTCTAAAGTTGTTTTTGTTTTGCCAACGCGACGCCTTTTTAAAATAAACAGAGGGCAAGCAAAATAAAACTGATCCTTGAAATTACCTCTTTGAGAAAATAAAGGAAAGAAAACTGCGTGCATGTCTTTATTTAACCACTGACGCAAGGAATGTAAAAGAAACAACGCTGTTGTTGTCAAGCCTCAGGAACAAAGAAGTGTGATTTCACACCTTTTTACGTTTGAGTGATGTCGCTTTTCGGACAGGGCCCAGATAGTTTGAAAGAACATATATATCCTTCGTTTCGCGCGCAAAGCTAGTACGACCAAAAGACGCTGTCGACCCGTCTAAACAAGATGGCGTAGTTCACAGGATTCTATGTGAATGCGGCAAGGTGCACATCGGAGAGGAATACAGAATTAAGGAGCACGATCGAGACATCCGACTCGCCTGTCCGTCCTTCGTTCCAGAGTGGCTTGTGTCCGGTGTTGTGGGCATGCTCTGAAACGGCGGAGGTCTCGTTACGGGCGAGTCGAATGTGTCGATCGTGCTCCTTAATTCTGTCTTGCATAAGTCTTCCAGTCACTCCGATTTTAGCGTAGTCTCCGACTTGAAAATAGCGCGTACACCTTGTTGTTGTAGGCAACGGCGAAGCTGTTCGGACAGACCTTTGACATAAGGTAAAAAACTTATGTCAAAGGTCTGTCCGAACAGCTTCGCCGTTGCCTACAATAACAAGGCGTACGCGCTATTTCAAGTCGGAGACTACGCTAAGATCTCAGTTAGTACGACCAAAAGACCGTGCGACAGCGGACCGCAGAGGGAGCAAATCACTGAGTGAACAGCAAGGATCGAAATGCACCAATCAGAGCTGTTGAAAAACAACTAATCACAGCAGAGCATCATGTTTTATAAGATCATACAGTATGCAGTCGAAACGTCGCGATCTACATCATAGGTGACTTCATCGTGAGACAGACGAAAAACTTACTTTATTGTTATTCACCACGATGAATCACCACAACCTTTTCTACGAAATGGTAACAAATATATTAGGAATAAAAGATTGATCTTCAAGGTTTTACCAAAAGAGTCGATTTTAGAAATTGCTTTGTGTTAAACTCGTATAAAAATTGAGATTGAAAATCAGTTTTCTCTTTTTAACATCTGACTACATCCCGTTAAAATTTGTCTCCAATTTTTCCGCGTGTCACAGGTTCCGAGTTTTCTCTAAACATCCCAAGTGGGTTATTACACCAGGTAACCCATATAAGGAGAGGTCCACTATCTTTTCATAAAACAACTGTGAGTTTGCCAGTACAATAAACCATGGGCAGGCCACACTATATGTTCGCGGCCAATAAATGTTGACACGAGACGAACAAAATCTATGAGGGTTATTAATAAAGCCCTGAAAATCTAAATTACATCGCACTAAAGTGAACTGTACTGTTAATTGAATCATTTGTGGTATTTTTTGCCTTTATGGGCCGTTTGATGCGTCTTTTAACTAAATTAAAAAATCGAGACAAGGCTTACAAAGTGGTGGTCGCCAGCCGCAACCTCCTACACTTCAAACTGAAATTAATGACAAACAACTGAAAATATGTCCTGACTGGCGACGGTTGTCAATTAATGAGATGTTGCTTTTTCTCCCCGTTCGATTTTGAACTTTATCCCTCCAATATCCTCCAAGAAAATCTGAATTATGAATGTAGCTTTCTCAATATGCCAAACTCAGCGACCGAAGGAGTTCGAAGTAAGTGTTCTTCTTACTTTCTCGGCCTGTTACTGAAGAGAACAAAGTTTATTTATTGATCGTGATCGCATTAGGATACACTAAGAGTAAAATAGAGGGTTTAGATAGGTTCCCACTCTAATGCCATCAAAAGGGGCACTGGAATTTAAATCACGGAAGTATGCATGAATACCACAAAAAAACAAACAAACAAACAAACAACAACAACAACAACAGCAGCAGCAGCGGATTACTTTGAAATGCGCATATGATTCTTATGAAGACATGTATATTCAACGGACCTTTTGGCCTGAAGAAGATTCACCGTTCTTAAGAAGTTGGAATGACGCGATCCACATCGGAAGTGATATATACGATTATACTTCATTGTCAGTATAATTTTATTATTGCATGTAAAAGATACCTTTTAACGACGTGCCTTCAATCAGACGACAAATTAATCTAGAGTTCATTTTCTTGATCTATGTCAACCAGTTCTTGGCTTGTGCTTGCTTTTAAGTTTTCTTTACCCCTGTCTGCATTCTCAATCGTAGTCACAAGCAGATGAACCTTTTTCAGGCGGGTGCCTTCCTCGACCGCCTGACCAAGAGCGCAGAGCATAGTGGACATCATAGAGAATCCTAAAATAACCCCAGCTGCCATCATTAGATATTCGCTGACCTCAACTCTTCCATCCTCGAAGGGCAAGAAATCTCCCAATCCTATGGTACTAAATGTTATAAAACAGAAGTAAAAACTCTCTAAGTAAGTCCAATCTTTACGTCTCAAATCTGCCATAAAAGAAATTACAGCAAGAGTGAAGATAGCCAAGAAAGTGGCGACCAAGGCACTGTCAGTTGCTTCGCCGTGTATTGTGTCTCGTCTGAGAAATTTGTTTTTCACAGCCCTGATCATTTTCGTAATACTCTCGTTGATATTTGTACCCACTACCTTGAAAACCACACATGTCAGTGGTATTCCAAACAGTGCATACACAATACAAAAAATCCTGCCCCATGAAGTCAAGGGAACTATGTGGCCATAGCCTGCAGAAAGAAAGTCACAGTTAATTACAAAAACTGAAACCAAAAATAATGGAAGAAAAACTTCAACAAATCCTATCTTACCCTTTTCAATAAATTACACAACGACTAACCCAAGATGATCGATTTTAATTATATTTCCGACTATGTATATAATAACTCACAACTTCGCTTCGCATGGGTCGCCTACTGTGCTGTAAATGCTGCGTTTACGTCCGTCGATGGAAAAAGGCGAATGCCTTACCTTCATATTCACTTATTTCGTTCCATTTTCATGAAATGTTATGCTGATTGCACGTGCTTTGTTCAGATAATGAAATATTACAATTCACTCAAATGTAGATCTGACACAACATTTATTACTCTCATGTCCTAAATAAAGTTCAAAACTGTAGCCGACATCGAATACGACATGGAAGAATCAGCAGAAGTCACAATACTAAGCATGGCGCACTTCAACAATGTGTTTAAAAGTTGTAAGACGATCAAATTGTGCCGAGTATCAGGAGCATCCTCTTGGCCTTCCTCTCCTGGATACAAACAGCGTTATGAAAGTAAATTAAATGATTCAAATAAGCTTCAAAGAAAATTGGTTTAAATGCATGTACGACTGAAGTTATACTATGCACTGACGCTTTGTAAAACCTGACCAACATTACACAGCAAAACAAAGCCAAGAGACTCTGTTTTATGGGGATTCTCTGTCTTCATAAATCTTGGAGAGTATAGACTGATTAACAACATAATTATAAATGTCGTTCTTGAACCCTTTTCATACTCACCGACAGTGGTCAATATTGTCCCTGCAAAAACGAACGCATTGCCAAACTTCCATGTTTCTATTTTTGTCGAAGCGTAAGGACTCTCGAAAATATCTCTTAGTTTGTTTATGTCCTCAGCTGAAATGTTCTATTTGCCTCGCAATGAAGCGATCTCGGATTTTAAACGAGTCTTTTCATTTCTTTCGTTTTCCCTCTCAAGAGTCTGGAAAATAATTGCTCCAATTCCAAGGTAACTGACCCAAACTAAGCATTCCAAGGCAAGTTTGGCGCATTTTCGAAAACTCATGTTGGTTGTGTAAAGTAGGGTATTTGATGCGATGCAGGATGATGCTGCGAAGGGAACCACAACAGTCCTCAGTAAAAATTCTTTCCAAAATGTCATTGTTAATAATCTGAGTATGATATGTGTCAAACATATGAAGCTTATGAAATGAATCTTTCATTAGGTGCGATTGGCTAAATAAAGCACCAGCTGCCACCATGGATATCAAGCTTTTTCCTGTACCATGAGAAAAGAACCGAGACACATCTGAGGACCTCAGCCGTTCAACAATAAGATCAGTCTTTTCACTGGCGACGTAACATAAACCCATACCTAAACTGAAAAGGGAAACATATATTACTTTACTTTTCTTTATTTTGCTCAGAAATAATCTTCATGCATTCATAGCGTTTAATATAGTCAGTCATAATTACAGTTAAAACTTTCAAACAAGGAATTTAAATACTCAAGTAGGGACGTTAACCAGTTAGAACTACAACGCCGAGGAAAAAGTAGATTCTAAAATTCATACTTTTATTTCGAGTTTTGCGAATGGTTTTGAGCTCGGCTTTTCTTACGGCGCCATATCTCAACTTCAGCATAAGATGGGAGCACAATGCTGATTTTAAAATAGAAACTTGAATGGTTCACCAACTGAGTCTGGGCCCTCAAACCACGCGAATTTTGGTGACTTCACGCTGTTGTTTTGTAGGAGCTAGACAAAGTTTTAAAACGCTCGTGCTGAGCTATTGTTCTATTCGTTAGATCTTTTGTTGTGCCTCTTCCTTGTTGCCGTCGCCATAGAGGTTTGCTTAAGTTCCCAATTAATAATAAATTATTGTCTCAGAAGAGCGAACGCCAGTAAACGTCGGTTGAGAATCTTTCTCTCCCACGAGCATTACGCATGCTACATTGTGTGTAGTGTGATACTGTTACAAATTAGACTAATACAGTGATCACTAAGATAAAGTTTCAGAATGCCATAAAACCTGGAAAAGAGCAAAATCTTTTTCAAATAGACTAAAAGAAAAGTCCATATGTGTAAAAATCAATGTTTTTTATCATATAAACTACGGTATTACACAATAATTTGTAGACCTGAGAAAAGCTGTTAGGAGAAACCGAGAAAATACGCGATATTTTTTTCACGATGTGTGTTTGATATCGTCAATCAGCTGCTGACGCGCGACTCGCCTTTCACGTCAGGATGAGGAATGAAAAGTAAATTCTTCACCATTTCGTTCAATCCATGATTGTTTGTCAGAGTTTTCTCGGATTATGGCTGCTAAAACACTTAAAATCCGTATCGCCCACAGACAGTGACGTTCAAACTTTCCCAGAGGGAAGAAAACTAAAATACGGAAAGAAAGACCGAAATTTACATATTCAGTGGCTTTGGTGATAGTATCTCTCGCAGCTGAGAACGAAAATCGACAAATGGAAGATTTTCCACAGGCCTATTTTGGCTGTGTATCTGAAAGCTTTCTTCAGTCGGTAGGGAAGAAGTCAATCAGTAACTGCAAATTTTGTTATTGAAAATTACGCGCATTGCTTGTTTTTGTAGTCATTCAACGGATTTTTCATCTTGAGCCTCAGCGCCATCGCACTTTATGATTTTTACTCGGGGATTGTCGATCCTCTTATTTTCATTCGTCAATAAAGTCGACTTTAAACATCACAATCTGAACATGGCTTCAACAGCCCAAGCCGAGGACAAGGAAAATCGATTAACAGTCAAAGAGATCAAGATTACCAAATCGCTCGCCATTATTGCGTTTTCCTTTGCACTGTGTTGGATTCCATTTTGGGTCATTGTGGTGATACAGCGCTTCCGTCGTTCCACCTAACACCCGAATGCTCTGTCCTTTTTTGATGTCTTTCTCGAGCATTATAAGGCCATTTATATGTGCTGGCATGAATCCCTCCTTCCACGCCGAGTTTTTCGAATTTCGCTCTGCAAATTATAGTCATCACGTTTCTTTATGGAGCTTCGTTGTCCAAAAGATGTTGAGTTAAAGAAAAAAACGGCGGGAACCCCACTTGGAATGGAAAATCAGGAAGATGAGGGAAGGAATTCAGTCACAAACTTTGAACTGGCAAATTAATTTATAGAAGTAAACGCAAATATTATGGGGCTGATAAATGACATCAATTCAAGCATTCGATTTAAGCTTTCGTGTGATTGCAGTTAAATATCAATAATATCCTTTTACTTTGCCCAATAAATATTTACTAAACAAATCTTAATCAAGTATATCTAAATTTATTTTTAAAAGGGCAAATAGTAATAAGTTACGCATCCAAGAGGACTTTAAATGAAAAAGAATAAGTTGATACAAAAAATGAAACTGCACCTGCGTAAACTCAACTCCTTTAAAATGTTGCGAATGTCGAAGACGGCAAAGGGGAATAACTGGCGCAATTACCCCTAGGAAAAACGTAATTACACTTTTCCCTACAACATTTAACAAAAATTCTTTCCTTCCTTTTTTTGTTTTTCCTTTCGATGCAAGTTTAGCGCAATTTCGAAGATTTTGTTATTGTTATGGCTGTATCATGCTTTTAGAGTTGTTATGAGTAGTTGTTATTGTAAATATAGGCCTCTAGAAATCCAAGACTGCTTAGTCATGCTGACATGCGTACCATAGAACTTTCTTGAACATCCCATCAAGTCACCCAGTTATAACGTAATACTACTTAAAAAGTTCTTCTGTAAACTTCCGGAATGTTTCAAAGCACTTTGTGAATGTATATAAGGACTTAGTTATGTAATAGAAGTAGTTGTTGTTATTTTTGTCGGGAGTGATCGACTGTTTAGAAAGCTATACCGTAAGAGAGAGCTACGGTGGAAGATTGCTAATTTCAAGAAACGTCGGAGGAAACTGTGGGTTTGGTCAGTGGTGAGCTAAGATACAGAATGTAGTGGGCTTAAGTAAGTTTATCGAGGACAAGTACTGTACTGCCTTTAGGAGTCGCTCCTTGTTAAGAATATTACTCGTTGTTTAAGAGGCTGTCTCTCTTATTTCCACCCGGTCAATTTCGCGTCAAAAATAATTTTGCCTGAAACTCTGTCAACAGAAAGACTTTACCTAGGAAAGAACTAAATTAGATTTGGTTTGATTCGAAATAATTTTCTGACTGCATTAGGGGCCATAATTATTTCCCAGTCCGTAGGGACCGTCTCGAAAATAGGCATATTTTGTAACATTGTAAAATATTTTATTCGCATAGTTAAGCCACAAAATTTATATCAGATTGCTTAAAAACCTTTCTAGTTTGCCAAGAAAGTTAGAATTTGCCCTCTCAATATATTTGAAAAGGCGAATTTTAGCATATTCTGACCACTAGAAATCGCCGTCGGTCGATGGCCGTAAATAACCTTGATTTAGACGTTAAGTTTTGGGATTTGGGACCTGGTTGACGACTCTATCCTATACAGTCGTCGCTTTATAGGCAAAAATATGCAAAAACCCCTGTACGTTTTCGATTTTTCAAAAGTTATGACCGTTTGAATCAGCGCATGTACGAGCATTCGCGCCATTTTTTCGCCCACACCAAAATCGAACCACTGGAGCAGATTTCGCCATAAATACAGCTTACCTTCGTCGCATCTTAGGTTCATGTGAAATTTCAGATATTTCTCTCTCCCCAAATCTGGTGAAATTTATGATAACTCCAGCAAATAACTCCAAACTTCAGCGGTCGGCATCTATCGATACTCTTCTTTGACTCGTTGTTGCGAACTAAACTCGAAAACTAAAGCCATGTTTCGCGCTTAATGTCCTGTTGAAAGTTTGGATTGCAGCTGCATTCTCTTCAAGAATCAGTCATAGAACTCCATTTGTAAGTCTATGTGTCGAAGTTTGAGGGCTAAAATTTGGAATCTAAAGCTCAACGATTGCACTATCGCGAATAACAGAGGTCCGCATTAACCATTGCGGGTGAACCCTCTGACCCTTTATTTTTTCTGGAAGGCCTGCAATTGTAGTATGGCATGCAAGTGCTTTTTCGAAACCAGAGAGGCTTCAGTCTGTAGCGAGTCTTCAGCGAGGTTGATAAAGCTTTCAGAATGTACAGGTGATATCAGTGATCATCTACGAGCATGTCACTTAGGTCAGCTTAGAGGAACGGTACAAGAATATGAGCTTATCATTAACAGGTCAGGGTTGCCACACGACCTTTCCCCTGATCAACTTGAAGAACTTGGTATCTGCGAAAAGCATAGAGGAAACATGGGTAAAAACTGGCGACCACGTCGCACTTGCCAGTACCCGCTGCACAACGGCCGGAAAAAGCAGCTAAATACTAGAAACGCAGTTCATCTCGACATGTCAATGGAAATTAACACTATCTTTGCAGAACTCGTTCCAACAGGTTCCCGTAAGTACGATTTTTATGTAAATTCTAGCTTACCAACCAGGTATTGTCCTGAAATGAAGGGCAGGGTTTAAATTAAGATGATATCTACACATATATTGAGGTGCGGTAAATATCAGAATTCAGTATTTTGGAATTTGATTAACATTTGGGCCAAAGCTCGCACGCGAGTGAGTATAAAACAAAACAACTGCTGCGATTTCGTCCCAAGATACGATACCACATGGCAGCTAGTGCAACTTGATAAATTTAATCACACTTCGACTTATAACATTGCTCTGAAGCAAACTTGAACCTAAGTTTCCAACACCACAAAATTGTAACGTTAGTCAATTATGTATATAATCGGGAAACACAGCAACTGCACTGAAAAATGCGTAATACATTGGGTTTTACTGCCCTACCTTATCTCTAACATCTACATGTTTACAAAAGCATTTTTTTATGTCATACACGCAAGGCGAGATACAAGATAAATAAACTTGGAAAGTAATTTGACACCAATGTTTACGCCGATGCAAGATAACATTCCTTCTGTTTTGACATTTATACAATTACACAAAGCACTTTTGTGTTATTGATATAAAAACGAAGAGGCATCGATTTTCGCCCTTTTATCCCTAAATAGAGTCAGAGTTTAACAACCTTTGCAAACACCCCCCTATCCGAAAATTGAGAGCGTACCCCAGAGTCACGTGATCATAGTGCAACAATTTTTATTTGTTTTCTATCAGTATGGCTCTGCTTATTATCATTTTGCATCATTGTTGTATTTCGTGCTTTTCAGTAATCTGCGTATCTTGTTACAAACTGCACAAGATCAAACTCGCGGAGAACATGACGTTGTTGCAAGGGCAACGTCCCGAAGAAAGTAACCAGCAAGAGGACGAACCTTACAGGTGATATAACGCTACCTGATACTATAAATAATGCAGACCATCATATGCATTGACACCTACAGAACTTTTAAGGACAAATGTTCAATTAAAATGCTGCATGCTAGCAAAATTGTTTTCCTCGGCGTGGCCACACACTATAACATTTTGCTCAACATTGCTAATGCAGCAAGCAAGTTATGTTTACAGGTACGCGGCCAAAATGGGTAACATTTTTGAAAAAAGTGACAAATAGTGTTTTGGCTTTAAATTGGGTGACCTAAAAAGAGAAAATGATTGATTAATGTACCATAAAATTGCAGGCGGTGGTGCTGATAGTGAACAGAACGGAATTATTTGTGCGTATTGCTGACGAAGAATGAGTTCTTTGTTAGCAACAAATTCTACTTTCGCAACAATGCGCGCAAAGATTTCAGTGTGGGACACACTATGCAGTCAATCACATGGCGGGAGAACTTCAAATTTTTGTTTGATTTTCTCAACTCCCAGAGTCGCCAAACGAATGGCAGCTTTAAATCTTGCAACGGTCACATCAACGCCTGCCGCGACGCCGCCTCGACCGAAAGCAAATGCCCTTACAGCTGATTGAACTCTGGGATGCAGATCTGAGACCGACAGCCAGAGCTCTGGAGACGAAGAGGCTGCTGAAAGTACCAGCGAGTTAGCAATGTAGGCGTTTACAGATGCCATGGAGAAACTGAAGCCGGTAGCAACCGGTGCTGGCCGCGTCAGTCCGTTGACCTTTCAGCTGAAAAGTACATGGGAGGAGGCAAAAGAACACGAGAAAGATATTTGCATTGACAAGGCTACTGAAGCTTGTACTCTCGTTTGTGACATCATTGCGCCGAAGGCCCAAATTCTAAGCCTATATGCCTATCGATATCCAGTGAAGACCCTTCAGAAAATCCACGAGCCATACTCAAAGTTAAGCGAGTGGCAAATTAGACGCGCTAGAGCTCATGCAAGAGAGTGTGGTCCAGGTTCTATGGTCGAAAAGTCCCCGTGTCATCGAGTTCGACTGCCACCAATAAAGCTTGACCATTTCTTAGACTTCGCGAACCGCCCTTACTTTTATCAAGACGTGTCATTTAGTACGAGGAAACTGAGGCTCAGCAGTGGTGAGAAGATCACAATGCCAAATGTCATTCGCAAAGTCACAAGGTCAACAATGGTCAAGCAGTACCTTCAGTTCTGCGAAGAAGAACAGTTTGAACCACTAAGCCGTTCAACCCTATTTCGCATCCTCGAGGTAAGGGAAGCCACTCAACAGAAGTCCCTTAGTGGCCTGGATAACACAGCAGCTGACGGGTCGGCGGGGTTCGTGGAACTCCTCCGAATAGTGGAGGAGCTTGATCAGATTGGGCTCGCAAAGAACGTGGCAGACGAACTGCGGAGAGCCCTCAGCGAGGGTAGGAGGTACCTCAAAACCCAGTTTCAGAGTCACTGCCAGGAAGATGAGAGCGAATGTCCCGACCACTGTCGTAAGTTTGGTCTCAGCGATCCAAACGATCCCGATTTCCAGGAACAATGCTCACATCAACACACGCTTCTCTGCCCTCAATGTGACGAGATTACTTCCGTTTTGCAGAAGATGCAACAGATTGTTAAGGATAACAAAACCTTAAGTTTTTACAGCGAGGACCAAAAAAAGTGACTTGTTGTACGACATCCAGAAATCTTCAGAGGCTATCGTCCATTGGAAAGCTCACATTATGAGATCCGTGAATCAGGAATGTGCAAAGCAAGATATTATCGCAAAGCTTGACCAGACTTCGTGTCTTCTTGTTATAGATTGGGCCATGAAGTTTCTGCAGCTGCGCTATAGAGAGAAGCAAAGTGACTGGTACGGAAAAAGAGGGTTAAGTTGGCACATTAGTAGCGTTGTGTCTCGAAGCAAGTCTAACACGACGGAAGTCATCTCGTACGCTCATCTCTTTGATCAGTGTACTCAGGACTGGTATGCAGTTACGTCAATTCTCGAAGATCTTCTAAAGCAGCTGAAAGTCAAGAATCCTTTGCTGCAGAAAGTCCATCTAAGGTCAGATGAAGCCGGTTGCTATCACAACAGCTCCCTAGTAACCGCTGTGAGAGATGTCGCAAAAGCAGTTGGGGTTGATGTTCATAGTTATCACTACTCGGAGCCGCAGTCTGGTAAAGAAATTTCCGATCGTATCCTCTGTCCAATGAAGTCCTCTATTCGTGCTTACTGCAACGAAGGGCACGATGTTCTGACTGCCGTGGACATGAGAGATGCATTGACGCAACACCCAGTGAAGGGCACAACAGTGGCAGTGAGCATAGTCGACGAATCAAAGAACACTCTCTGTATAAATAAGATTGAGCATTTTAGTAGCTTCCACAACTTCGAATATGGAGATACCGGTCTGAGAGTTTGGAAATGTTATGGCATCAGTAAAGGGAAGTACATTCCATATGACGTAATTATATCAAGCACCAGAGTCAAACGTCCCTTCAAACCATAGAATCTCAAGGGTTTTATGATCCTCCTGAAAAGCGTGTGGTCAAGCGTCGTTCAAAGGGCAGCAAGGAAACGGAGAGTACAACGCCATTGTTTGAATGCTCTGTGCTTGGATGTGTTGAAGTGTTCGAAACGTTTTTGCAGCTAGAGCTGCACCTGGACGTTGGAAAGCATAAAGTCAGCAGGTTAAGCCAGTATGATGTAATCAAAAGGGACTGGGCCCTTAAGTTCTCGTCGATAGATACCGCTGGTATCGAGTGTTCGAGCTGTTCGCAAAAAATTAACAATTAAAAAATAAAAAAGGCGCAAATATATATGCAGTTCAAATATTACACACAAAAAAAATCGACAGGAAATTACAACACAAGAGGAAGAGAGAGATCAATTCTGAGCAAGATATGAGGATGCAAAGCTTGTTTAAAACTATGCTTCGGTAATGGGAAAGTTTTAATCAATGGAGGACACTGTTCTAAACATAAAAAGTCCAATCACAGTTAAGGAGAACTTCCTATTATTTGTTCTAGAATGAGTTAGGTTTAATTGCTGTAGCTCACCAGTTAGATGATTTAGACTCACTCAGATGTTCAAAGAGAAATATGCAGGTAAAGAGCAATAAGTGTTTGACAATACCGGGAAATTTCAAGACATCAAGCTGAACACTTTAAGGAGTAATATGATAGGGAAGGGGAGCATCATGAATAATTGACTTTCCTTGTTCTGGAGTCGGACAATGTTAGACAGAGGCGCTTCCTAGTTATAACCACACCAGGGCGGAGAGAGGTTGGGCCATGAAATGAGCGATCCGCTCTTCTTGCAATATGTGATGCGGAGTAGGACTTGTACGAGCGCTCTCTCCGCGCTTCCGGTTCATTATGAAGTCGGCAAAATTTTCTACTCGACCAACCGGAAATCTCTTTTTCATTTTGCAAAGATTCCCACTAATGCGGCATGATTAAGTTTGTGACAGGCCTTTCACGCTGTTCAATGAGTTCATATCTGCATTAATTTATCAATATTAAGTTTCTTAACGCAAGTAATTATGATTTTACTCAAGTTTAAAGCATGTAAAGTTGTCAAATGTTTGCTTTCGCCTCGAATCATGGCCATTAGAAATAGCAATTGTTCCCAGTTCTTCCCAAGCCCAAATCTTACATATGTTAAAAAGCGCTAAATTTTCTTTGTTGTATGAAAATTGAGCTGATGATATCTGTAGATAACAGAGTCGTATTACTTAAAAATCGGTAACTTTTATTGAAACGCACTCGTGGATCACCACGCCATCACACATGTACCGTTCATTTGAGGTCTCAAAAATAAAATATTTTCAATTACTAAAGATGATCATCATAAATTGAGGCTGAAACAAAAACATATTTCCTTCCGGATAGAGAGCATTATGAAAAACAGTAAATGGAAAACTATAATATTATTAAGATACGCGATCGCATAGTTTTTAAGTTTAGCATAATTTTATTTAGTAATTACAAGAGCCGCACGATCTGTAAAATACATCATTGAACGAATATCAACACTTGTAGTTGGCTATCCTCGATGTTTATGAACCAATTTAGTTTTTTTCCCAAGGGTATATTCTTCCAGCCTATATGTCGAGGGAGATAAAGATAACAAATTATCGAAGCGACGAAAGAATCGGAGAAATCATTTCAAAGCGCTGCTTGTCCACTCCAACTAAAATGAACCCTGCGGCTACTAAGTAAAAAGAACAGAAGCTCCTGCTTCTAAAAAACAACACATTAGGAAACAGAAAAAATGGAAAGAAGCGGTTAGATCGTGAACAAATAAAAATAATCGCTTTGATTTTCTGCAAACAATATATTTGAAAATTAATTCTGTCGTGGCGAATGTTAAAAATGTTTAAACACGGGTAGACAACTTAACACGCAGCCTAAAAACCGCTTGTGATTTAATTTACAACACTCAACAAAGTAACTACTGATTAGTGAGTCAATAACTTTCGGTAAATCTTCGCGAGTCCGTTAAAAATAGATATTTCTATTGAATTCTGCAAAAGGAAATTAATAAATTTACGCCCAAGAAAATCTAAGCATAAAAATCTTAACTACCCTGAATGCTAATTCAAAAGTTATCGAAGAAGTTAGCAAAGAATAATCAAAGCAAATTGCCAACTTGCCAAATTAATGATACTAACATTTGAGTGATTAGAACACAGGAAAAATGTCGCAGATGCCTATTAGAAATACTATTTAATATCCCAGCTTTACAGACCGCCGCTTCACAGTCATTTTATTTAATTCATTCGTCACCAGATGTGCACATACATCCAAAAAAGGAGGAAGCTCGTTACAGGGGGCAGCAACAGGAAAAAGTCGCAGTTGATACATACAATTTAAAAATTATTTTTAAAAACTTGAATTTATTGGTTTAAATATTTTAATTGACGGGGAGTTTCAAACTGTTCAACACTTGAAACCGAAGTTAAAAACTAAAAAGTCAGATCCTGGTACTTCCGTAATCATTTTGTTTGTTCGGTGTAGCGTTGCGTGAAATAGCTCAGCGTAATGTAGAATGGTACAACGTACATACAGACAGTGTAGTGTTGCGCGAAATGGCTAAGCGTAATGTCGAATGGTACAGCGTACACACAAATGGTGAAGAGTTGCGTGAAATATCTCAGCGTAATGTAGAATGGCACAACGTACATAAAAACAGTGTAGCGTTGCGTGAAACGGCTAAACGTAATATCGAATGGTACAGTGTACACACAAATGGTGTGGCGCTGCGTGAAATGGCTAAGCGTAATGCCGAATGGTACAGCGTATACACAAATGGTGTAGAGTTGCGTGAAATGGCTCAGTGTAATGCAGAATAATACAGCGTACACACAAATGTTGTAGCGTTACGTTGAATAACTTTGCAGAACATCAGACGTTCTATCTGAACATTAAATTGCTTAGCATTACACGAAACATTTCGATGTTGTGGCGAATCGTCGAGCTTGCTCGCCGAAACCACCAAAAGTACAAACCACAAATGGAAAAGTGATCTGTTGGAGGGCATGACGTCATCGAATGTGAAGACTGTCGCGAAACCATCACATGGTGTAGTCGCTGTGTTGAAGAGTCTTCACTTCGCCTCGCCGTAAAGCAGAGCCAATTCAGTGAGTTTCTCCTTTTTTTCCCTCGCTGATATTGCATTTATTCGTTGTCGTTCATAAAAGCGTTAATTAAAATAGCAACGAGACTGGATTCTTCCACGGTTTGCTGGCCTCCCGGTTTACCACAGTTTGCACGCGTCAGTGAGCCTGAATGTTCATAGTATTAAGTAGTGTTAAGACGTGCATTAAATGTCGATTGCCGAGCTCTCTTTTCTTTCCTGACTCGCGCTTACTTTTCAATGAGAGTTTAACTGCAAACTTTGAACATTGCAGGAATACGTAAGAAGTTGGATTTTGTGTGTGCCTTGGACGCTATGCTAAGTAAAACTGATATCCTTGATCTGTTTTGACATTTTTTAATCAAACATGTAGTGTTTGCCAAAGCAACCTTTTTTCCGAGTTGGTTTTATCGTCCGGCATACCAATTAAAGCATTCCGATATCACTTTGATTGAAAAATGTCAAAACAGATCAAGGATATCAGTTTTCTTACCATGGCGTCCAGAGCACACACAAAATTCAACTTCTTACGTACTCCTCCAATGTTCAAAGAGCCGTTGAAGTTGAGCTCTCACTAGAGCTCGACAATCGACATTTAATGCACGTCAAAACACTACCTAACACTATAAACATATTCAGGCCCACCAACGCGGGTAAACCAGGAGCCCGGCAACCGTGGTAGAATTCAGTCTCGTTGCTATTTTAATTGACGCTTTCATGAACGACAAAGACTAAATGCAGTATGGGCAGGGAAAAAAAGAGGAGAAACTTACCGAATTGGCTCTGCTTTACGGCAAAGCGAAGTGAAGACTATTCAATACAGCGACTGCGCCATGTGATGGTTTCGCGGTAGTCTTCACATTCGATGACGTCATGCCCCCAGCAGATCGCTGTTCCATTTGCGGTTTGTATTTTTGGTTGTTTCGGCAAGATAGCCTTGGCGGCAATCACCACCAAAAATACAAGGATGTCAAATAGATCAGCAAATACAAAGATGGTTTAAGGATCAGCTGCAGGATAGCATAGCTAATAAAAGAATGGCATGGCCTTCACGTCAAACCACAAACAAGCTCGACGATTCGCCACAACATCGAAATATTTCAAGTATTAATGAGCAATTTAATGTTCAGCTAGAGCATCTGATGTTCTGCAAAGCTATTCGACCTAACACTACACCATTTGTGTCTACGCTGTACCATTCGACATTACGCCGAGCCATTTCACGCAACGCTACACTGTTTGTATGTACGCTGTACCATTTCACGCAATGCTACACCATATGTGTGTGTACGCTGTTCCATTCTACATTACGCTGAGCTATTTCACGCAACGCTACACCGTTTGCGCGTACACTGTGCTACTCGATACTACCTTGAGCCATTTGACGCAACGCATCATCGTTTGTGTACTGTATTGCAAATGAGTGCTAAGCCATTCGCAATTGAGCTAGTCCATTTCACAATTTCATGTTCCAACGCGACATGGGCAACTAGACCGTTTATCATTTGGCTAAACTATCCATGTTTAGGGTGTTCTGTTTCACGAAGGAAGACTAAACCGTCTACAATTTGGCTATGCTAT